TGAGCCACCGCGCCCAGCCGAAAACATGTATTTTTAAAAACCCAACTTGTACATTAAAAATATTCATAGCAGTATTATTCACAATAGCCAAAAAGTGGAAACAACCCAAATGTCCATCAGTGAATGGATAAACAAAATGGTATGTCCATACAATGGAATATTATTCACCTACAAAAAGGAATAAAGAACTGATACATGCTACCCCCTGGATGGACTTTGAAAAATTATGCTAAACAAAAGAAGCCAGACACAAAAGACTACATATTATATGATTCCATTTATATTAGATGTTTAGAATAGGCAAATCCATAAAGACAGAAAGTAGATTAGTGATTGACAGGGGGTTAAGGGAGAGGCAATGGGGAGTGACTGCTAATGAGTACAAGGGATTTCTTTTTGTGGTGATGAAATGTTCTGGATTAAATCACTGAATTATATACTTAAAAATGGTTAAAATGATGAATTTTACATTATTATGTGACTTTTATCCCAATTTAAAAAGACACATTAAGTATCTGATCTTCCATAACTGTTTCTCCAATCTTTCTCATATACTGTGTATGTTCCTAGGCAGAGAACAGATGCAGCTGTCCCTCCTGGCTGGGCTTTATGCTCAATCAATTTATCCTAAGTATAAAGAATGAAACCTAAGGTTCTCCAGCTACAACAGAACAGCAAAATCCTTATCTTTCTAGAGTTGTTTCCAGTTAGAATAGGTCATACTTTTAAAAACATCCTGTTACTCTCAGAGAACAGTGTCTCTAGAAGCTGAGGTTTATAAAAGAATGACTAAATATTTCCACCTATGTTCTCCTGAAACACAGCTCCTTTGTTTTAACCTGGAAGGAATCCTACAGTGTTGCTTTCAAGTCTTTTGACTATCTGGTAGTGAGGTATAAATGAAAGAACATGTGTTTAGGACTTGAAAAATGTACATCTAAATCCCAGATCTGTCACTTAATAGCTGTGAAATCACAGCAGCTTCTAAAGCTTTTTTCATCTTCTATAAAATAGAAGATAATAATACCTGCCCCACAAGTTTACTATGAGGATTAAATAAAATAGCATCTGCAAAGTAACAAGTACAATGTTTCACATATAGTAGGCACTCAACAAATTTAGTCTATCAACAATGTTAGGCCGGGCGCGGTGGCTCACGCCTGTAATCCTAGCTCTTTGGGAGGCCGAGGCGGGCGGATTGTTTGAACTCAGGAGTTCGAAACCAGCCTGAGCAAGAGCGAGACCCCGACTCTACTAAAAATAGAAAGAAATTAGCTGGACAACTAAAAATAT